ACAAAAAAAAAAAAAAAAAAAAGATACACTCTAAAAATAATCCCTTTGCCTCGAATATATCCCATTGTTCTTGGCACTTTCTGAAGCAGTTCTGCAAGTCTTCCTTCATGAGGGTTGCACGGTTGTGCTGTTGTGCTATTCTGGCTGCCTTGATGTCCTGAATCAATTCAAAATGTTTACCTTTTATGGCCATTTTGACTCTGGGGAAGATCCAGACATTACATGGCTCCAGATCTGGTGAATAAGGTGGATGAAGACCCATTGTAATGTTTTATGAGCCTACCTTTCTGTTGGATGACCCTCAACAACAGCACTCACAGTACTTTTGATCTAACTGTATAGAGACAGGAAAGAGGACCTCAAGAACTGCTTCAGAAAGTGGTAAGAGCTATGGGATAAGCATATTCAAAGACGGGGGACTGATGGCAATGTGTCTTGTTCTGTGGTAAAGTCTTGGAAAGTTTAGACATTCACTGTATATTTTGATCACATCTGGTAACTTTAGTTCCACTGAGTTTAATGATCCAAAGGTATCTCATTAATTGTTCTGAATTCCAGTGGACAGATGGGAACTTGGAAATTATTCCTAATGTGAATAACACAGCAGTAGCTTCTGAGAAACACAGAGGTCAGAAAGTTGAGCCTCTGCCCCAAGGGGCTCAGCTGTGATTCTCTTCATTGCCATTCCTGGAACTCTTCCCCTCTACTCCGGACAGGAACTCCCTTGGAATTTCCAAGCCACAAGGGCCCAGACTTCACTGTGGGTGTCATCATCTGAGGCTGATGCAATCCTAGCTCCCCTCCCCCCGCGCCCCCTTTTCACAGTGCTGGGGTTGAACCCAGGGCCTCGTGTATCCTAGACAAGTGTTCTACCACTGAGTCACGTACTCACCCCCACGCCCCAACCCCTCTCACTCTACTTTGAGGCCCTCTTGCAGACACAGCAGTCCACATATTGATTCATTTTCCATCCTCAGAACGAAAGTCTCTCCCCTTCTCCTACATGGCTGTTTTTAAAATGAACTTTTCATGCCTTTACATGAAAATAGACCACCTGATTTGACTACTTTGAGATTTTAAAAGCTCTTTTGTTCCCTTTACTGAGCAATTCAATTTACCTTTTAAAATAAGAGGTAGATTATTCTCTAGTATCTTACTCAGCGGTTTTCTGAATAACACTTGCTAAAACAATTGGGTTAATTTTAAAGTTAACCAAAACTGGGGAGGTTACAAAGAAGCATTGTCATTCAGTGTCGGTGGGAATATAAACGTACAGATTGTTGGTGGAAATAGAAATTGATGCAGAGTAGTGGTGAGCTATGGCACACGTGTTGTTTTTCTTTTAAGACAAAAGATGTTACTGTATCAGTTGTTTTTTCTAAACTAAAAACCTCAGTATTCATATTTAATTGCAGTGTTGTCACTTGTCGATAAATAAGTGGGTTTTAGGTTGCAGTTTTGGCACTCAACTCTAAAAGGTTCACCATCACTGCTCTAGAAAGTAACCTGGGAATGCTGTGAGAATCAAACAATGCATGTAATAAATACTCTTTGCCCTACAAATTCTCTAAGGGTTTATCTTTTAGGAGTATTTGCATGTGAGCCAGAAAAATTCCAGAGATATCTTTAACAGAATTGTTTATAATGTAATGGCAAAATATTGGAAATAACCTAAGGGTCTATCAGTAGGAGACTGGTTAAATTGTAATAAAGCCTTATGTTGGAATTTTATATAGCTTTTAAAAAGAATGGGACTGCTGTGGATATATGACTATACAAAGATCTTTAAGTTATGGTAGTAAAAAAGGCTCAGAACTAACTGAGCTATCATTTGTGTAAGACAAATGCTAAGTCTCTATATAGTTTTATATACATGCATAAAAAATCCTTGGAAGGGTACACAAGAAACTGCTGATAAAATGTTTCTGAGTAAAGGAATTGGGGGACAAGGGTAAGAGGAAGATTTAGTCTTACCATTATATCCTTGAGTATTATTTGAACTTTTTCCCATGTATATGCATTACCTACTTTAAGTATTTAAAAAGTTTAATCCATACTACATTTTAATTTTTAATTATTTTAGATTTTTCAGATTTAATTTACTAGCTAGTGAACAGAAAAAGTTTAGGAAAATGTATACCTATATTTATGTATCATTAGAAATACACGAAAACCTTACTTGTTTTCCCCTTTTAATAGCTTACGGACACAGATCTGATTAAACAGTGTATAGATGAATGCAAAGCCAGGATCGAAATTGGACTGCATTACCAGATTCCATACCCCAGGCCGGTAGGTGTGATTCTGTTAAGAGGTGGTGGGTACTTAATGCTTCCAACCCAGTTATCTCCAAGAATGTGTGCCAAGAGGGCTAGTGCTTGCCAATAAGCTGAGAGTAACTTGTAGGAGGCATGTTGGAAAAAAGTTATCCGTATGTGCCACCAACCATCATGGCAAATTAAGGTGTCAGTGCACACCTGATTTCTCTTCTGTGCACAGCTTTCTCACACATCAAAGGAAAACCAGCTCACGTATGCATAGTTCTCTCTTTTGGCCGTCACCTTTTTTATAGAAATGCTTTCCTCCCTTATAAAAGGCAGACATGTTACTAAAAGAATAAAGTTCAAACATTGAAGGAATGAAACCAGGCATAGTGGTGCATGCCTGAAAGCCCAGCACTTGGGGGCCTGAGACAAGAAGATCGCCTCGAGTTAGAAGCCAGCCTCGGCTACATAGCAAGGTCAAGTTAGCCTGAACTACATAGTGAGATCTTGTCTCAACAACAACAAAAACCAAACAAATAAAAGGAATGCAGAAAATAGCAAGTGAAACTTGTCAAAAATCCCCACCATGTGGAAATGACCACTATTTGTTTTATTGGAACAGAAGTAATTGTCAAAATTCAACCCTTTGCCCTAGAAAAGCAGCAATTTGATACTGTATTGGCTCAATGTAATCATTTGGTAATATATATGTATTTATATATTCTTTACATACGTGGGATTCTAGGCATACTGTTTTACTGCCTACATATTTTACTTTGACTCTTCTGAACAACTTTGCACATAGTTATACCTCAATCATTTTTTTTTTTTTAGTACTAGGGATTGAACTTGGGTCCTTGCGCTTGCAAGGCAGGCCACCGAACCGCTGAGCTAAATTCCCAGCCCACCTCAATCTTTTTAAATGTTTGCATTGTATGCTATTGTAAGAATGTTCCATTATATTAAGGTGTTTCAGAAAAACAGAATCAGTGGGTATATATAAAAAAAGATTATGAGGAATTGGCTCATGCAGTTATGGAGGCTGCAAAGTCTCATGTAATCTGTAAACTGGAGACCCAAAAGAGTCCAAAAGCCTAAGTGCCTCCAAGCACAGGAGAAGGTAGAGGTTGCAGCTCCAGGAGACAGGAAGATTGTAAAGGAAATTCCTCCCTTCAGCATATTGGAGAGTACCCATCCACACTGGGGAGGGGCACTAATCCCTACAAGCACCATCACCAATACACCCAGAAGTGATGTTTAATCTGAGCCCATCAGACTGGTACAGAAATTAACCATTATAGCCATAATGTAGTCTGCTCTCTGTTTGGAGGCATTGAAGTTGGTCTCAATTTTCCACGATGCACTAAGTATCTTTGTGTGCACACATAATTTTTCCTTCTCCCTTGTTTTGATTCCTGTCTTGCGGTATGATCTGTGACCATTCATTTCCTCCATTAAGACAATATACAAAGAAGAGCACAAGCTTTGGAATCAGAGAGATCTGAGGTCAAGTCCTGGTTCCACCACTTAATATATAATCCTGAGCAAGTTAGCTTCTCTGAGCCTCCATTTTCTCTTTCTTATAGATAGTGGAGTAATAATTTTCATGAGTTTATTGTAAGGATCCATGAATGCAAAGATTATAAAGATTAATGAGTCAGAAATAGTTTTGCATTTAGCAACAGCATTGTATTTAGTAAATCCTCAAAGAATATAAGTGAAAGCAATTAGTATGAATTCCTAATATCATCATTCTTATGATTCAGATTCATCTACCGCCAATGGGCCTCACCCCACTACGAGGTCGGGGACTTCGAACTCAGGAGAAACTGAGGAAACTTTCCAAACCAGTATATCTCAAGTCTCATGATGAAGTTTCCTAATCCAGAAGAAAGTTTATGAAGACGACGAACCAACTAGATCTTGAATGTAAACCAGATAACATAACCTTTCTCCTTGACAAGGGGCAGAAATTCAAATATCTTTTTCAGACCTCCAGAATGATTCTTCACAATAATGCTGCCTGCCTCTACATCCCCAGGGCTTGTCAGACTCTTGTTGCTTGAGCAGATGACATTAACCCTTACGTCCTCACTGAAATAAGACTGAGGGCTGTGCAGGAAGGCTAAAGATGATAAAGCTGCTCACGAGAACCCCATCTGCCACACATCAGCTGATGTGAAGAAACAGGTTTTGTGGCTACTGTAAAACATATACCAGACCCAGAATATTTTTGTGTGTTTTTTTTTTCCTCCAAGTTACTTATTTTTCTTATAACTTAGGGTTGTCGTATGTGCTTTTATTTTTTGGGGTGGTCTTTTGATTCTTCCAATTTCCAGATAAACTGTAAAAGCACATCTTTGGATTGATCATGGTTTTTCATGGAAATTTTATAAGGCACTCATTTCCCCCTCCCTGTACACAAAAGTGTATGCCTTAGTAAATGTGTTTACTTATGTTAAAGCCTGTGATTACTTAAGATAATTTAGGACCTGAAAAAACTTCCTTGAAATTCCTATTGCATTCATTGTATTTTACTTTAACATAATTGAAAAGTACAAGGTCTTCACTGGTTTTCAAATTATATCTAAACAAATGGGGCAAACAGGTGAGAATCCTTGGTGAGTTTTTTTTTTCCAGCTTTAATTGAGTTTATTGGTACATTTTAGGGATACAGTACAGTCACATTCATTGTTGGGATCTTGTACCTCTACATGACAAGTCTTGAACTTGGTGAGTTTTTTGTACATCAGTGTTACTACATCTTAACTTCACAGACAGTAGGTATCACTAGTAAAGATAAATCTCTATCAATTTTGGTCTCTGTGTTCTTTTTCAAATAGCTTTTTTTCCAATTAAGTTTATTGGTACTTTTTAGCTATACATTCATCATTGGGATTTGTACCTTTACATGACAGATCTTGGTTCTTATTTTTCTCCCATACCCCTGCCCTCCCCTCACCCCCTCCACCCTTCCCTATTTACAGACTTTGTTTCCATTTTTTCCTTTTCTCATATTTTTTCTTTTCCCCATCCTTCCCACTTCCCCTACTCCTGTAGCCCTTTTCTAGTCCACATGATCATTTATACAATTTGAACCTTATTTACATTTTTAGCTTTTCACACCAGAGAAACTATTTGGTATTTACTTGTGTGTCCTATTTATTTCACATAACAGTATAGCTGTAGTGTGCATACATTTAGCTATAAATGTCTCTAGTTTCTCATTCTTTATGGTTGAGTAGTATTCCATTTTATAGAAAAACCGTATCTTCTTCATCCAGTCTCCAGTTGATAGGCAATTGGGCTGTTTCCAAGTTTTAGCTATTACAAACTGTGCCACTATAAACATGGGTGAGCATATATCACTGTGGTATGTATTCTTTTAATTCTTTTGAAAAGATACCCAGCAGGGGGAGAGCTGGGTCAGATGGGATCTCTAATCCCAGTTGTCTGAGGTATCTCCATATTGATTTCCACAGTGGTCGCACCAGTCTGCACTCCCATCAACAATGGAGAAGGGTTCCTTTCTCCCCCATAGCCCTGCCAGCATTTGTTATTGGCTGATTTCTTGTTAGCAGCCATTCTTTCTGGGGTGAGGTGGAATCTTGGTGTGGTTTTCGTCTGTATCTCTCGAATGACCAGTGATGTGGAACATTTAAGTCATAAGTTTATTTGCTGCTTTTGTTTGCCTGAGAAGTATGTTCATTTCATGCCCTCAAATGGGCTTTTGACCCCCAGCAGCAGCACAGGAAAGCTGCCTCCTGTGAGAAAGAGCTGCGGAGATGGGGAGGATTTAGAGAGCAGAATGATATTGTACCAGTGGAGTAATAACATATTTCACACAAATGCAGCCAAAGCTCTTTGGTGAAAAAAGTATGCTAGCAGGTGTGCTGGCCACTCAGTGAGCATTTTTCCCAGTTTGCTTGGAATAAGGAGACAGAAACCTCCCCACCCTTTGGTCACTGTTCCAGCAGGTATCATTGTGGAAGCCTCTCCATGCCCAGAGGGGCTTTTGATGTTCATTGTCCATGCAGTATAGATTCTGTGAACTCAGGCCACCTACTGCATCTGGTGGTCAGCCAGTGAGGTAGGGATCTGTTCCTGCAATGGAGGAAAAACTGACTGGGTTGAGCCAAATGAGACATAGCTTGCCCATCTCCATGACAGTCCTTTCCTAAGTGACTCTGATGTGCAGTGTTTGCTTTGCTCTCCTGAATGGAGAAAGCACCCTTCTTACACAGCTTTCTCAGTCACTGAAGTCCATTTCACTGCCAAGCAACTTTGGAGTACTTCCAATGTGCTAGGAATCTTAGCTACATATGGATTTTATGTGTCCAGCCTCTTTTGCAAAGATGATACATTATCATATGTAGCAACACTGTCAGTTCTCTCTGTAACCTGTTTTATTTTTAATAGCATTTTCCCTCTGCTTTCTCTCAAGGACAATAAAACCCCCATCTTCATTCATTTAAGGTAGAACTCACCTTCTCTAAATCCCCTCCTGTGTAATTTTTTTCCATCACTGAGAAGAACTGTACAATCGCTGTTTATTTAACAGCTAGGTGTTTTAGAGCTAGGACTGGCTTGGTGACCAGGTTTGTCTGATGTCATTTGCTGAGCTGTTTTTTTTTTTAATTTAAATTTTATTGAGTTTATTGGTACATTTTAGGGATACAGTACAGTTACATTCATTGTTGGGATCATGTACCTTTACATGGCAAGTCTTGATTCTCATTTTTTCCCCTTACCTCTGCCCTCCCTTCACCCCCTCCTCCCCTCCCCATCTACACTTTATTTTCCTCTTTTCATTCTCTCACATTTTTTTCTTTTCCCTTTTTGTTCTTCCCCTACGCATCACACCTTCCCTACACCTTTAGCTCCTTTCTTCAAATTTCTAAATGTCAGTAATCTTATTAGAATCTTATGCATTGTTGCAGAATATTCACACCAGGGAAACTATTTGGTATTTACACATGTGTGACTTATTTATTTCACTTAGGAGTATATCTTCAATATGTATCCATTTTCCTATGAATGAATCTATTCTCTCGCTCTTTATGGCTGAGTAATATTCCATTTTATAGAAAAACCACAACTTCTTTATCCAGTTTCCAACGGATGGGCAAATAGGTTGTTTCCAAGATTTAGCTATTACAAACTGTGCCGCTATAAACATGGGTGCACATACTTCTCTGTGATATGATTCTTTTAGTTCTCTTGGAAAGATACCCAACAGAGGGATGGCTGGGTCAAATGGAACCTCCAGTCCAAGCTCTTTGAGGTATCTCCATATTGATTTCCATAGTGGTTGCACTAGTCTGCACTCCCACCAACAATGGAGGAGGGTTCCTTTCTCCCCACAACCCCGCCAACATTTGTTATTGTGTGATTTCTTGATAGCAGCCATTCTTTGTGGGGTGAGGTGGAATCTCAGTGTTGTTTTCATCTGCATCTCTCGAATGACCAGTGATGTGGAACATTTTTTCATATATTTTCTTGCTGCTTTTACTTCTTTGTATGAGAAATGTCTGTTCATTTCGGATGCCCATTTTTGGATCGGGTCTTTATATTTGGGGGGACTGATTGTTTTGAGTTCTTTATATATCCTTGATAATAGTCCTTTGTCTGAGGTACAGCTGGTAAAAATTTTTTCCCACATTGTAGATTGTCTCTTAGTTCTGCTAATGGTTTCTTTTGAAGTACAGAAGCTTTTTAGTAAGATGAGATCCCAGTTGTTGATTCTTTCTGCTAGTTCCCGTGCTACTGAGGATTTGTTCATAAAGTCTTTTCCTATACCAATGTCTTCCAGAGTTCTGCCTAACTTACTTTCCAGCAAGTTTAATGTTTCTGTTTTAATATTTAGATCTTTAATCCATTTGGATTTTAATTTAGTGCATGGCGAAAGATAAGGGTCTAATTTTAATCTGTGACAGGTTGATATCCAGTTTTTCCAACACCATTTATTAAAGAGGCTATCTTTCCTCCACTGAGGATGGTGAGCTCCTTTGTCGAAGATGAGGTAGCTGAGTACATCTGCATTTGTTTTTGTGTCTTCCAGTCTGTTCCATTGATCCTCAGGCCTATTTCTTTGCCAGTACCATGCTGATTTTATCACAGTGGCTTTGTAGTATAGTTTCAAATTGGGAATTGTTACACCTGGTGCCATGTGACTGTTGCCTATAATGGCTTTTGCTATTCTAGGTCTCTTGTGGTTCCAAATGAATTTTTGGATTCTTTTTTCTAGTTCTGTGAAATATAGTGTTGGAATTTCAATTGGCATTGCATTGAATGTATATAGCAGTTTCGGTAGTATGGCCATTTTCACTATGTTGATTCTTCCTACCCAGGAGCAGGGGATATCTTTCCATTTTTTTATATCCTCTTCGATTTCTTTTTTCAGAGTGCTGTAGTTTTCAGTGTAGAGATCTTTTGTTTCTTTTGTTAGATTGATTCCTAGATACTTCATTTTTTTGGATGCTATTGTAAAAGGAATTTTTTCCCTTATTTCTCTTTCTGTCTGTCTGTTATTTGTGTATAGAAAGGCTATTGATTTTTGGGTATTCACCTTGTATCCAGATACTTTACTGAATCTGTCAATTAAGTCTAGAAGTTTTTTGGTGGAGTTTTTTGGATCTTCAATGTAGAGTATCATATCATCAGCAAATAATGATAGTTTTATAGGCAGGCTTGCTGCTGCTCTCTGAGCCGATCTCTGACTGTCTCTGCCCCAGGAATCCAGCCTCTAAATCACCACAATATCTGAAGAGTATATGCTGTTTCCCAACAGGAGACATTTTTTACCACATTGGGTGCAATTGAACATGACTTCAGATTTAGGGCAATCTTTGTTTTCAAAGAGGAGGAAATTTTTTAAATTACAAAAATGTAATTCATCATACAGAAACATTCTGTCTCTTGACCCCTGAGAAATGACACGGTTTTGGCCTCCCTTAACGTTTTTTATTGCTGAAGCTGGAGTTAGAAAACTGTAATTAAGATTCACTTGTTCTCTTAGCAACCCTCTCATTTCCAGCTCTTCTACAGCTCAAAATGTGACTTAACTACCAGTCCAAGGTGAGAGGGGCTGAGGGTTCCCAACCATCTTCTGATCCTGCAAGACTTACCATCTTACTTGAAATGGAACAGCAGTCCCAACTATCTGTTCATTCTTCTTCCTCACCACTCTGGATAAAGCTGACCCCCACCCTTCTCCTTTTCTGTTTGTGATTTACAGGGTCTCACTGTAATTCAGGCCAGCCTTGAACTTACTGTGTAGCCCTGGCTGGCCCTCAGTTTATGGGCATCCTCCTGCCTCAGCCTTCCAAGTGGCTGAGATTACAGGTATGTGCCATCATGCCTGTTCAGTTGTTTCTTGAAAAAAAAAAAAAACCTACTAAACTAGTTACTTTAAGTTATATATTAGTTCTTCCTCACTGTCTTTATCGCCTTGTTGCAAGATTCAGATAATCTATTTCCCTTGCCACTGTAGTGTCACTTGGGTGATTTGCTGATCTCAGACTTCACAGTCCTCAATCAGAATTTGATTCATGCCATAAAAAAGTCATACTGAAGTTTTCAGGAACATGTTTACCTGGTTTTCAGAAGCACCCACCCTCCAATTCAGGAAAAACCAGAGGCCCTAAGTCAGAACATTTGTTCTGGTGAAGAGGTTGAGAATTGAGGCCAGACACATTAAGACAGCCTTATTTCTGGTCACTGTGCAGTGACCAGTGGAACACCCTGAGAGAAGCCACTTAGAGCCAGAGAGCTCCATGATGAGTAAGTGAAGATTGTATCAAGAATGTGATTTTTATCTCCCTGCAGAGTCTTCCAGGTGGCCCTGGAGGAAAGGAGTGATTGCAATTTCTTGAGCATAATCATGAAGTTGGAGGTACCCCTCTCCAGAAACTTACGTCAAAATTAAATTATGGGGAAGTGAAAAATGCAAGGATGCAAGAGCCAGACACATCTGCGCTCCAAACCTGGCTCTACAAATGTGAAGAAATACTCAGTGATCTTAGGCAAATTAATTTCCCTGAACCTCCAGAGGGAGAGACGATCACTCCCAATATATAGGATCAAGTGCGATGTCTAAAGGCCTGGACTCAAACCCTGGCACACAACAGGCCTGCAACAAATTTAGTTCTTTCATCTTGCCTTCCTGAAGCTTTAGCCATTGGGGTAGGCTAATAGGAAAGCAATTGGGTCCTGCTTCTACCACTAACTAGGTGGAACTCTGCATTTGTAAAATGGAGATAGTATCTCTCACCTCAGAATTTTGTATATTCTAAAGATCTCAAGAGCCTTAAAAGTATCCCAAGACCCTCACAACCTCTGAGGAGCCTTGATGATTGCCCATATGGGCAAAGAAGTGATTGAAATTGTGACAGTTCCAGCAAAATAATAGATAAAAGACAAAACTCACAAGGGCAGGGTGTGGTGGTACACACCTGTAATCCCAGCACTCTGGGAGGCTAAAGCAGGATTGCAGCCTGGGCAATTTACTCACACACAAAAAAGGAGGGCGGCTGGGTGACGTAGTTCAGTGTGAAGGTCCTGAGTTCAATCCCTAGCGCACACAAACCCACAGGCAGGAAAGCTTGAATCCCACTGGCTGTGTTCAAATTTTACTTTAGTAATTGTCTGATTTACTTATCTTTATCACATTTCTGCAGCCATAAAATGAGGATAATAATAATAACCTGCTTTATAGGGCTGCTATGAAATACTTGGTTCATAGCAACTGCTCAGGTAAGGTAACATTCACATCAACATCATCACTGTGGTATAGTACTCTCAAGAAAGGAAGGCCGGGCTGTCGTGGAGAATGAAATGCTGTTTACTTTCTGTTTTGAGGCAAATGCGTCAGTTGTCCAGTTGGCACAGGGAGGCCATGCCTCGGTTTATCCAGTGCTTCTGGGGCCTGTCTGTCGGAAGCTCAATGGAGAGGACGTAGTTGGTAGAGTGGCCTGTGGTGGAGAGGACACCCCTGCGGGCACTTGTCTTGTAGACCGGACACATGTAAATGTTCTGATGCAGAAACAGTGCACTCTCCCCAGGTTTCAGCCAAATGATGGGCAGTGCGTCATAGAGGATTTTGGGGAGAGATTCGCCAATCTGCTTCATTTTCCTGTCCCAACGGGCACCTTCTAGGAAGAGCCCTTTTATGTAGGCCCCATCTTCTGGGTTACTCTCCACGGCTGTTTCTTGTGTGGTTACCTGGAAGAGGGTGAACTGTGAGTCCATAACCTGCCAACTTCCTGTACAAGGCAAGAATTAGAACCACCCGGATTCAATATCTGCCTCTACCAGGGTGCATCTCAGAGGACAAGGGGCTTCTGTGACAGTATTTCTGCCTGCTGCACATGAACCAGGTCTGATTCCTAGCAGGATTCTATCCTCATAGATGGGGAGGGGGCAAAGAGAAAGCACTGAGTGAGGAGGCCATATTAACTATAGCCTACTGATCCTGCATAGCCCTTGCATCTATGAAGTGAGAAGTTAGATTCTGATTCAGAGCTGGCAAAACAGTTCTGGGGGTAGTGAAAATAAATCCTTGATCTGCCAGTTTTGTAGTGTAAAACTTCTACCATAGTTGATTTCAGGCTACCAACCAAGAACAAGCTCACAAAACTCTTGGAAAAGTAAAAATTGGCTCCAATGAGCTGGAGTGAGTGTGCTCCAGCATACCACTGGTTAGATGGACAAGTGGTAAGCTCACATTCCTTTCAAGTAAGGGCAGAAAGTGGTCTAGGATAGTAGGGTGTGTGTGTGTGTGTGTGTGTGTGTGTTGTGAAACAGCACAAACTCCAGTTAACATCACTCTCATTCTATTTTTTTTCTTGCTGTTTTTACTGAATGGAATTTTTTCCCCACTACTAATATCTACCTAAGAGCATTAACATTCTTCCCAGTGGAGTCCACCATGTTGAACAGGCAGCATGGGAGGATGTTTTCCTTTTCCTTGGTATGATGGTGGCAGAATTCTCCTCTGGAAAGATTCCCTTCTTTCGAGTTTTTTGTTTTTTGATTTTTTTTTTTTTTTTTTTTTTTTGTTCTGGGTTTCTTTTTTTTTTTTTTTTTTTTTTTGGAGACAGGGTCACACTATATAGTTCAGGCTGGCCTCAAACTCATGGCAGTACTGTTGCCTTAGTCTCCTGAATGCTGGGATTACAGGGGTACACCACCATGCCCACAAGATTCCTTTTTACATACACAGAGACAAAGGCTTGGGTGTCCTGTGATATGTAGAGAATAGTTCTTAGAGCTACTCATGTTACATACTTAACGTGTAGCATCTTCGTATGTAGAAGCATGTGGACCTAACATACCGAAGTGTTTGGACTTACAAGGAAATGGGCAGTATTGCTTTCTTTGGTTGGTCCCTTGAGCTGTTCTAACTCAGAGCACCCTACCTCAAACTCAAATCCAATGTGGTCAATGGGGATGGTATATTTCCGGGCATAATTCTGAGAGACACCAGTCAAAAAAGACTGTGTGAAGTAGAATCCAGAGATCCAAAAGACCACAGGGGGGCCCTTGTCAATCCATTCCTGCAGAGCCATAGAAATCAGAATTCAAAATCAACCACACATCAAAGATAGTTCAAAGGCAGATAATGAGTCCCACAAATAAATACTCTCTCTCATTTTTGACTTATATTTTCCCACTTTCAAAATGAAAGTACAAAGAAACATTTCTACTTTAACAAAAGTACAGGTGCAAGGTGGTGATGGGAACACAGTAGAGAGTGACGGTGACTGTAGAGGAGGAGAATATATCTCATGACCAAACTGAGCAAATAGCCACTCATCTCCAGAAATAGTAGCAATTCGCAAATTGCAGGCACATTGTTTCAAGGATTCTAGTTTTGTTTTGTTTTTCCAGGAAAACATCTGGTGTTTTGTTTTGGGTGCTGGCTAGCACTCTACCACAGAGTTATATCCCAGACCTCTACATCTAGATTTTGATGTATAAAATTCCAGTGTGGGCATGTTAGCTCAAAAGTTTTAAAATTCCCAGGCAGCCAAACAAAGCATATGCCAAACCCATCCCATGAGCCACCAGTTTGTGACATTTATTCTAGTTCCCACTTTTATATCCGTAGACAAGAATCTTCCCAAGGTCTTTCGAGTCTCTCTCCTGTCCCTAACTCTGGAAAGACCATTTCAAGGTGGCATGCTGCAATGGCTGCAAACCCTTCTACCCTGCCCAGTTAGCCTGATTCCCAGGTACCTGGAAGAAAGCCAGGTGGGCCACTAGGTCAGCCACATAGCCCCCCAGTGGCTTCAGCGATGGGTAGGACTTGGCTGCCCACATCTCTGGCACTTTACCCACGAGTATGCTGTTGAAGACTTCCTCCAGCTCCGAGGACATCAGGACCTGCCCTTTGATAGCTCGGCCAAGATTAATGAGGCTACTGCGAACCACTTTGGTCAACCTGCAAGATGCAAGGAGCTGGATGAACCTGGCTTTCCCGTCGTCCCATTCTCTCCAAATGCACTAATTTCCAGTCTCCTTTTTTTCTTTTTCTTTTTTTACCAGGGACTGAACTCAGGACCTTGTGCTTGCAAGGCAGGCGCAACGCCACTGAGCCAAATCCCTGGTCCCATCCTTTTTTCTTGATTCCCTTTAAAAGGTCATTGAATACATGGTCATTAATTACAAAGAAATTAAATTACCTATTCCATCACCACCCAAAGACAACATTGATATCTATCTTTACAGGTTTGTGTCTATGTAAACACAAGTCATTTTTAATAGGGTCATCCTATATTTTTTTGTAACCTGTTTTAATCTGAAGAGAAATTGGTCCAATTCAGTAAATAAGTGACCTAACCAGGGATTTAGCTCAGTGGGGCTACTGCCTGCCTCACGGACCTTGCAAGCGAAGGTTCTGAGTTCCATCCCTGGTACCAAAAAATATTAAATAAATAAATAAGTAAATAAGTGACCTAAATTATCCTTTATAATGACTGCACAATGCTCCAATTTATCTAACCTGTTTATTGCAGAAACATTTCTAGATTGTTGTCATTGTAAACATTGCTAGGAAAATCCGTATTAATCTTTATGCAAATTTCTAATTATTTTCTTAGTAAAAGAATTTCTGGATCTAAGGGCCCATACAGTTTTAGGGGTTTTGATCCATTTTGCTTAAGTTTTTCTTTTTACAGACTATGAGGTGCATACATGAGAAGAGGTGACCAAAGGGCAGCCTGTGAGATGCCAAGCTCACTTGCCTCTTTCTGGCGTCCATGTTCTGAGGCCCAGTGGACATGAGAATGATCAAATGCAGAAAAGCAATCCCCAGATGTGTAACTGCTAAACATTCTTATCAGGAGGAATGTGATTTTCAGAACTTGGTGCACATGCTCACTGAGGGGCCAAGGAAGGGTCCCACGCAGGTCTCTATTACACCTACAGACATACTTCTAGCCTTGAAACTATGGACCTAGTTTCAAGGTCTTAGTACTCAAAGAAGGCCCCAGAAGACACAATAATGCCCCTGACTGCAAACTGAAAGCTGAACTGTCACTTAATCACTGGACTTCCTGTGCCCCTCGATGAACAAAACAGTTGGTGGGATACACAGTGGAGCGACGCTGAAGGTGAAGATTGCTGTTACCCTGGCTCCTTGCATTCAGTGGTCAGTGGTAAAGGCTAGTGAAGGTCCCTGTAACCACCTAGGAGGGGATCTAGTGGCCATAGGGGAGAAGGTAGTGGCAGAGGAGGAAAGCCATGAGGATGGGTATCTGATTGAATGAATGAGGTCTCCAGTCCATCATGCCAAGGCATCTGATTCACAGCAGAAATGGCCTCGTCCTAGTTTTGCATCCCACTTTTTGTTCTGTCCCCCATATAACCAACTGCCTATTGACTCTAGAGACTAACCCTGAGACCACAGAAGCAGAGATGCTCTCAGATGACATTGCTCCAGCTAGTCTTCCAGAGCAAGCCTCTTGACAGTGAACAATGACTCAATGAAGCAGAATGGAGATAGCAACACAGTATCTGGAAGAACAAGAACCTACACTCGGAAGCAGGAGTGATGAGTTTTAAGCCTTGGCACTGAGTCACTTGAAATTTGCATCAAGCCACTGTCATCTTGGCCTCAATCTCCTCATCTAGCCTACATAGTCCTTGATAACTCTTTCTGTTTTGACTATTTAGAAACCAAATCAAGGTGCTTTCACTGAGTTTTGTGCTGTCACAACTGGAGGAGAAGTGAGAAGGGATGAGAATAGAGGGACAAGAGACTCTTGCTTCTCTGGCCAGCCCATAACACCCCAACTCTGTGGGAAAAGCAATGGACATTTTCCTGCCATTTGCTGCATTTACCCTAACTTTACATATTGTACATTGACTCTGGTATCAGACAGCCTAGGTTCAAATTCAGTTCTGCCATTGAATAACTATGTGACCTTTGGCATTTGAATTCCATTTACCATTTGAATTCCAATATTGTATTACACAGTGGTAAAGACTAGTAAAGGCCCCTGCAACTATCATAGAGGGATTCTAGCTGCCTTAGGGGAGACTGAGTAGGTTAGGAATGAACTCATTAGGTCTGGTGTTACGAATGAGGACTACAGCTCACCACCTGTGCAAAGATGGTAGAGAGTAACTACATATTTCAAAAGACTGCAGAATTTGAGAGATCCACGCACAGTGCTTGAAATCATATCTGGCACTAAGGGCTCAATAAAAGCAGCTCTGATTATTTAATTTTAACTGTAGATGTAACATGAATGAGTGAAAAAGAATGAATAGAAGGTGTGATTTAATCCTGGGCCAACACATACTGAGGAGGAGCCTATGAACAGCTCTTCCTAAGGATGGGGCAAACCATTTCCTACACTGCAACACTATGAAGTATCCGTCTCAGCTACTTCCTGTGAGAGCCAACTCCCAGGATCCAAGTGAGATCATCTGGCCTACCTGTTGAATCTGATGAGCTCCTGTCTTAGGACAGTGTTCATGGACTCCTCATAGACCACAGGATATAAGTTCATGACCTCTTCCAGGTCAAAGTCTTTGGGGAGTTTGGAGAGTACATCCTGAGCCAGCTCCTCGACAACTTCCTTTATGCAGAAAATAGGTGAATGAGAAATAAGACCTGTAGGTTGTAGCATTATCTGGGTAAACCTGCAGTAATGAGTGTCTATCTTTTTAAACATTCTATCAGATCCCCCTGGGAACTCTCCTATAGAAACCAATTTGCTCCTGGCAATAATGAAGGCAACCATCACCCTACCAGTTTGGGGGAGGGCATCACTCCTTTGCCCCAAATTAAAATGCTAACGAATGAGAGCTCTGTCTTCACACCTGTGGCCAGGCAGGGAATTCCTGCTCAGCCAGGTGGCAGTAACCACTTCCTGTCTTAAGGTCACCTCTGGGTGAGACTCTCCCACTGTTGTCACAGCCAGCTTCTTAGGAGCAGCTCCTGATAGAATAAACTTTCTCTCAATTTTCTATCAGATCCCCCTGGGAACTCTCCTATAGAAACCAATTTGCTCCTGGCAATAATGAAGGCAACCATCACCCTACCAGTTTGGGGGAGGGCATCACTCCTTTGCCCCAAATTAAAATGCTAACGAATGAGAGCTCTGTCTTCACACCTGTGGCCAGGCAGGGAATTCCTGCTCAGCCAGGTGGCAGTAACCACTTCCTGTCTTAAGGTCACCTCTGGGTGAGACTCTCCCACTGTTGTCACAGCCAGCTTCTTAGGAGCAGCTCCTGATAGAATAAACTCTTTCTCAATGCCTGTGATTTTCCCAAGTTCTTCCTTCCTTCCTTCCTTCCTTCCTTCTGTACCTATCATAACTTTACTGGTTTCTACTTAAATTCTGATACGCAGTTTTTAAGCAAAATAGAGTTAGTTTTAAAATATTATATAATAAGCAGGGGTGATATATGGATATACAAAAAAATCATGAAATTTGTACAGGAATAGTTGACATTTTGGAAACTGTTTCTTTCAGCTCTGTATTTAAGGAGCTCTGTACTCTCAGCAGTAAGACCAGAGCGCCCCCTCCCATCCTGCCAGGCCTCCACTTTTCTGATGCTCCCTAGATGGAAAATTGCCCAGGAAATGTCTCCTCCTCAAGCCTGTTTACCTGAGGTGACTTGCCACTCCCTCCTGACTGTCTGGGGAGGGTCAGCAGCACCCCTTGGAAGAGCTGGTTGGTTTCCTGGTTGTCCTTGGTGATATCAGCATTCTCATGGAGACCAAATACTTCTGGGTGGGCTGTGATGGGCAGGGTCCTGAGGTAGTCGATATAGGACTGGAAAGGAAATCCTCAGTTGACATAATGTATGTCCCTGCAGTCCCACAGGTGCTTTAGGGTTTGGCTGGGTCCAGCTCAAGCAAGAATCACACTGTAGCAGTTGTACTGCCCACCCAGGCTGTGTGAATATACCCCCAGCACTCCTTCATAAAGTTTTCTAAAGAGTATGAAAGCAGATGGGGCTGTCTTCCTCCCACAATCTCCTCCTCTCTGCTCCCCTAGCTTTGGAGTTAAATGGAACTGGGTTTGGGCCCTAGCTCTATCACTAGCCAACAGTGGAATGTTCATCTGAAACCCCAATTTCCTTATCTGTAAATAAGAAGACAAGTAAGGTCATAAAGGAATGAGGCTTTGGCATATAATAGGTAATTAGTAGAAGTAAGCTTTTTCTCATCCTTCTTCTAGATTTCTTGTTTTCTTCTGTATGTCATTCACCTGTCCAGTTTTTCTGTCCCACCCCCCTTGTCATCTTTTCAACCTTGTTTTCATGTAGCAATTGCCAGCTTGGTCACTATCACAGCCTCATCTTTACCATCCTTCTTTCTCCCTCCCCAGTTACCCAGATGTGCTCCATATTTTGAAAGACCTTGTCTACTAAATACCTAGCATTTACTTCAAAAACATCCCCCGAAGGCCTTTTGGAATGTTAGAAATAGCTTATAGACTTCTGAGCCCCTCTGAGGACAGAAGTGGGCCTTATATCACCTGGTAGGAGCCATAGGGAGGGATGTAGTATGTCTCTCCAGGGGCGAGATAGTAACGGTCCTGCTGGATTTCCTTGCAGTAGAATGTGGACAGAAAAGACAGCAGCAGACGCCGGTCTTTGTCATCAGTCACTCTGCCTCCATAATTACATTCTCCTGGAGAAGCAACAGGGAAAGAAGTTGAGCAGAGGAAAAGTCATCATGAATTTGGTTATTAACCTGAAACAAGGGATTCATCTGGCCAAGGAACCCTCTGGAACAGGGCAGCATGAGGACACAGAGTTGCTGATGCCTTATGCAGCTTGAGATGAGATGGTCTTCTGATATTATGGTTGCTACAAAACTAATACATGTTCTCCATATTCAAAATCAGAAAAGAAAAATAAAAAACAAAGATTAACAATACGATCAGGAAAAATTCCACCAAAGATGGCTTCCTATTATTCAGGCAGCTTCCAGACCTTTTGCTTTTGTGTATGTGCACATGTGTATGTGAACAGTATTACAAAAATGTGTTAGGCACTGCGCCTGCCTCACAAGTGCAAGGTCCTGAGTTTGATCCCTGGTACCAAAAAAAAAAAAAGTTTAGGGCAAGGACTTTGGAATAACACAATCCTGAGTTCCAGTTGCATCTTACAATGCTGTGGTTAAGACTAACAACACAGTATGTGTAAAACATTTAGTGTGGTTAGCCTATAAAAAGCATTCATTTAACTACAGCTATTATAATGCATATATTTTAGAAAAATGAGATATTCCTATACATATTGTTTTGAGATACCACTTTCACCATCCCCATGCCTACATTCAGATGTCTACAAAAAGAATTACGTGATTCTTTGGAAGGGATATCAAATCCAACTCACCATCACCTTGGGATGCACCTTCTCACGGGTGCAGATACTATATGGCTGTCACCTGGTATTTGGTAGGCAGGGTTAACACACTAGGTCTTAAGGAGGGGTGTGTGAGTGTGTGTGTGTGTGTGTGTGTATACAGTCAGTGGGCTTACTCCCAACTTCAAGCATTTCAGGGAAGGGCAGGTCTATAGACAGAAAAGGAAGTAAACATTATACTGAGGTGTAAAAGGCCTCAATTTCTTTCAGTCCTGACTTACTGGGATCTCAGTACCTTGGAGGGGCATTCTGGATGGCTACTTAAGGGAACAGATGAGGCTCATACTGAGTAATGAGTCCCAAGGAAGCCTCCTGACCTTCAGCCAGCTTCTCTATATCTCTGCAACTCTGTAGACATCTCCAGGCCATTAGCAAAGTTCATTTTGAACATTACTGCTTGTTTCAGTGCTAAGGATGTTTATGACAATACCCAAACTATAATATTAAAGCATGGTTTTGCCCCCTGAAATCAGTGTGGCAGGGGTAGGGGGCACCCAGAGTCATGACATAAGGTCCCACCACCGCTGCCTTGTCAGTGAGTTGCCCTTCAGGAGACACTCTTTCAGCTTGGGTTTTGTGTCTATGAAGGAGAGTTCATTTCTTTATGGCTATATATATGTTTGCTTTTTAGCAACTGCACAAGTTCCTAGAGGAGCCAAGACATGCTTTAGACCTCTGCTTAACTCTCTATTGTCTGCTACAGGGCTGGGTACAAGATTAAGAATGAATGACTTTGGTTCATCTAATTTGACAACCTCTCTGTACATGTGACTATTTAATTAGTTTTCACAGTGTATTCTAAATATCACCTGTATCTGATTTTTGCTAGGTATATAGGAAGGTTATTCTCCTCTAGGCCCCTTAGAGAGGTGTGGGGCCAAGTGACAAGCACTTGCACATTTAATTGCTGGTATGAGCTCCTCAGTGATCACATGACTGTATACTGAGATGACAGCAATAAAAGTTGGTGGAGCCTTTACTGAACGCACACCTGATAGTTATAGTAAGCAAACTGATTCACAGACATGGGGATTCACACTGGACATGGAGAGTGGGGAAGAAATGGACTTCAGCGTCTTTCACCTTTGAGACTGGGGACCGTCAGCTCAGCCTAACTCACCTATCTGGATGGGCATGATAGGAAAGGACTGTCCTCAAGCTGGCTGGCACAGGCAGGGAAGCTGGTCTCTGGCCTGTAGGCAGTCTTCTCACAAAAGCACTACTCTGTGGTCTGGAGAAGAGCCCTGGTGCATGGCAGAGAATGAAGGGAAGATGCCCTCCAAATGAAGAACCACTGAACCTATGCTGTGTGTCACATGCGGTTTTGTTCCAGGAAACACTGCACTGAGCTAAAGTCAGTGCGGCCATCTACAACTGAATGTCATCATTCTCTTGCAGGTTTCACAACCTCGATGCCACTAACAACCTTGCTGTCACTAACTGGAGAGTTCTGTGCTTCATGGGGCTGTCTTGTGCACTGTGGAAGTTTAGCAGCACCCCTCGCCTCTACTCTAGATGCTGGTAGTGTTCTCCTCTTGAGTACTAAAAACCAAAACATCTCTAGACATTGCCAGATATGCCCTGAGCACAGTTCACTGCTCCAAGGCCTTGGTCTTCTCAGCTGTAAAACAGGGTCAGACATGAAGTTTATAAGACTGCTAAACTCACTGTGTGCATGCAGCATGAGTCACTGCTTGGGGAAAGGATCCAAGCAAACTCCTTAATGTCAGGAACTGAAGAGGGAATTCGTATGTGATCTTAAAGCCTTTCTACTGAGCTGCATTTTGACTTCTGGCCACGGTGTTTCATTCATTCAGTACATATCTTATATCTCTCTATTTTAACTCTTGTATCAGATTATACGATATATTATTTGAAGGCAGTGACCAAATTTTATACATCTGAGTTCTCCTGTATTCTTTTTTTGGTACTGGGTATCAAACTTGGGTCCTTGCACTTACAAGGCAAGAGGTGGAACTGCTGAGCTAAATCCCCAACCCTCCCATATTATTTACTAGTATATTCTGAGTGACTGAAAAAAAGTTGCTAATGAATTGTTTTCATACAAAAGACTCAAGATCCTTCCTGCTTGGGAATTCTCTCCTTTCTTCTCACCATTCAGTCTCCTTTCTTCTTCCACTGGTAGAATTCCTACTTGGCCCTCAAAACCCATTTCTCAAACCATCAGAAAATTTTCCATGATCATCTCCTCTCTATCCTCAGATTCAATCTTTGTGTTGCCTTTTTAACTTTATGTTTCTCTTAACTGAACTTATCACTATACGGTCATTTATTTTACTTGTATTTTTCTCCCTTTGCAGACTGTCAGCCACTTGACTGTAGGTAATATGTCTAAATTTGGTCTTTTACTATATCCAGCATGATGACCAGTATTAGTGTGACATCAGTGTTTGTTGAACGGATTAGAGAGTGAATGAGTAAGTGAAGAGAGGCAGGATCAAAAGAGCAGGAGGGTGGAGGTTTGTGGTAGATGTGCTCTTCCCATAGATACCTGTTAGGTAGGTCAGAGCATCAAACGGCACCTCCTTGTAGTCATTGAGAAACATCTGGATCTGCCGCATACTGATCCTTAGGTCAGATTCATTGAATTCATACGGAATATTCCAACCTGCAAGAGGCAGAGAAGAATTAGAGGCCTTGGTGCTGAGAGCTCTTAATTTCCACTCAGAGACTGAGCTGGTACAGTTAAGCACCATTATGGATCAAGAGCCTCCTTCAGCCTGTGAATATAGAGCACCAAGCCAATGATTAGCCTTGACAGTTACTGCTGGCGTGGGAGCCATTCTGCCCAAGAAGACATCCATTGTGAAATCAATTTCCTTATGGGTCTTCCTATTTGTTAAGGAAGATGTTAACATCCTGGGATTTGTGGAATGAGAATTATTCAGCCTGACTGGAATACTGTGGTAATACACAGAGCTCAAAAAATAACACTAATGCTGAGAGCAGTAGCTAAGACTGGGCAACAGGATGAAGCTGGTTTTGAGAATTCTCTTCCTTGTACTCATGGGAGACTTGGACGGCCACTTCCATTTCCAGGTTAATGACAAAGGCACACTGGGGCTGGAGAATGACATAAAAAAGTGTGCCCTGGACCTGGTATGAGATAGCTGGGGATGCTGTGCTTAACAGAGGAGTTTAATTTCCCACTAAACATTCAAATGCAAATTAAAAATATATAACAAAATAAATTCATGCACTGGCAAACAAAACACAATAGGGTAGTTGGTTGAGAGCCAAACTGCTGCATGGATTTCTAGAGATCTGGCATGGATAGGACACTGGTAGTAGGAGAAGCATGAAATCCAGATCCAGAGGGGCCTGGGGAGCTAATTGGAGCTGGCTGGTGTGCAGAGAAGGAAAGGTGTTCAGATAAAATCACCATGAGGACAAGTGTCCCCTTATCTCACTCACAAGTCCTGCTAGGAATCCCCTGAAGTTGGTCATTTCAAGGCTACTGGACAGAGTCAAAGGCAGCCCATAGGTGAGACAAAGGTAATCTACCTTCAACATCATGATGATGTATATATATATATGAAATCAGTCAATCACTTATTTTTTTAGAGGAAGCACAACTTCCCAGATATATTGCTGTCTTTCATTGCCATGTACATGTAGAGAGAGCTGCAGGAAACGTTGCAAGTTACCCGGTGACTGCTCCCTGCAGGATGGTCATTGTGCCTAAGATAGACAAAGTCAGGCCAAAGGGAAGCACCTCCAGTCCTCTAGTCCTCACATTATCGCACTACTTCAGGAGGTAGGGGGCCTCTGATTTTGGAGTGACACTTCTTCACTGATACTGACATTGATCTGGTTATAGGGTTGCCAGAGTTAGCAGACAAAAATACATGTACCCAGTGAAAATTCAATTTCAGATAAATCACAAATCATACTTAGTTTAACTATGTCCCAAAGATTGCATAGATCAGATTTGTATTGTATTTTACTGGCCACTGCCATTTGAGTGCAAACCTGCACACATTCCTCTAAAAAGATCTGCATCTGTCTGTGATCATTCTCCAGGCTGCCCAGCTACGCTGTCATGGCTCACCTAGGGGTCCAAAGTTCCTCCTCTCTTGAACGATGGCATGGAAGAAGCAGAGGCCGAACAACAGCTTCTGCCACATCACTGGCTTGGTACAGCTTTGGAAGAACGTGGGGTCTGAGATGGGATCATTGAGGTAGGAGCGCAAAAGGTTGGCCCGGAGTCCTTTGGGGGCTCAATGGTCATTTTGATCCCATTCTGGAGAATGCTGACTGGAAATTTCTCTGACGGATAGCTGGTTAACCAGAGCCTGGAAGAACAGTGGGCCCAAATGTTCAGAACAATGCAGAAAGTTACATTAAACAATAACAAAAACAACAGCTACCATATCTGTCCTTCATTTCTTTTAATCCTCACAGCCACCTGTGAGGGAGGACTTACCACCCCATTCACCAGTGAGGAAACAGAGGTGTGCCAGTTAATTTCAATGGTCAACTGGATAAAGACTCCTAGGGACTGGATGTATCCTGGGGCACTAGATGGATTAATCCACTGCTGTTCCCAGCTGACTGTGCTGACAGAAGGCGGGGCCTCACTGGAGGAGGTGCGTCACTGGGGGCACGCCTTTGGAGAGAATTATCTCTCGTTGAGCTCTTCCCCCTGCTCTGCTTCCCGGTCACCATTATATATACAGCTTGGCTCCACCATACCCTCTGCCATGATGCTTCCACTCTGCAGCCAGTCGATGATAGTGGACTGAAACCATAAGCCAAATGAAACCTCCTCCTTTAAGTTGTGGGTGTCAGGCATTTTGTACCAGCAATGGGACAGCTGACCAATATAAGAGGCATGGAGAATCAGGCGAGCTTTTGAAACAAGGACACACCATTTGGAAGCAGCTGAATCGAGATGAGAGCTGGGGTCTCTGACTCCAAAGCCCCAGCTCATTTTTTGTTTTGCTTTGTTTTTGAGACAGGGTCTGGCTTTGTTGTAGCTCAGGCTAACTCACTACATAGCCCAGGCTGGCCTTGAGCTCATGGTGATCCTCCTGCCTCAGTCTCCCAAGTGCTGGGATTACAGGTGTGTGCCACTATGCCTGGCTTAAAACCCTTGCTCTTCTCCCCTGTAGAACTTTCTGAATACCTATATGGTAAAGTACTATACTAGGAACTGCCAGAGTGATCAAAAAGAACAAAGCATTGTTTCTAGCTCCAGATACTCACAGCCTTTTTGCTAGAGGAGGAATTTAGGGCCAGGCAAGGGATAAAAGATGGATACTAGAGTACAAAGCATCATAAAATCAAAATCACAAGCAGGGCAGAAATAATGGACTGTGGGGGTTCATGGCAAGAAGAGATTTCAATAGGTTAGAGGGAGTCAGACAAATAGTAGATAGTAAAAATGGCAGACTAGGACCAGAGAGTGGAATCAAAAAAATCCAATCACTTGCTTTTGTAAATAAAGTTTGACTGGAACATGGCTATGCCCTTTCATTACATTTCATCTATGTCTGCTTTTACCCTACAACTTTAGAGCTGAAGAGCTGGGACAGAGACAATATGGCCTACAAAGCATAAATTATTTACTCTGGCCCTTTAGAGAAAAAGTGTGCTAACCTCTAATAAATAGGAAGTGGTATTGAAAATGGTCTTGATAATATGAGAATTTCTTTATTGAATATATGTAAAAGTGGGTTTTATTTTAACCTTTAAGGCTTTGGTTTTTAAATCTTTTAATTTTTATTAGTACATGTTTGCAGTACATAATTATTAAATTCATCATGGGGAGTTGGTATATGTCGTGAAATGTTTAGAAGGAAATAAAATTTAAAAATTTCCCCCTATAGGCTAACATTTTGGCATATTTCACTCAGGCTTTAAATAATTTTGTTTTCCTACCAAACTCAAGCTACATATATGTCATGGTATCCTGGTTTTTGTTTGCTTGTTTGCTAGACATTGGAGAGACTTCCAACATGTAGATATGGTGTTGGGAGGTCTTTAGTGATACAGGACAGTCCGGATTGGTGAGCAGGTGGCTGTGGTCCAGGCCCAAGGCTGGGAGAAGAAATAAGAGTTCATAAACAGATGGCCTAAGGCTTGACTTCAGCCTACAGATGGGCAATGTTTGACTCACACCATTTACACACACATACACACACACACACACACACACACACACCAGTTATACTATATTTTTGAAGTAGTTACCAACATTTCAAAATAAAGGGCTTTCTTTTACAATTAGGCTTCCCCCTTTCCCTTTAAGATCAACAGAAAACCTGATCACAAGATACCTGACTTTGTGCGCAGTAATAATTAAGTAGTATTAAGTAGCAAGTGCCCTTCTCTGTAGGGCGTGTTCACAGCAGTTCCCACCATACCCTATTGTGTGATGCTGAGACCAACTGCCCATAAGGACTGTTCTTGTACCGAGGAAATGGGACTATTTCTCATGTTCATCTTTCTGTGGTCACTTATGTGCATGGACGTTGTTGGCACTTGAGGTCATGACTTTTATGTTAGGACCATATAAAATGTCAACAAGAATAGCATTTTCTTCAATGACAGTGGATTCAATGGTCAATGAATCCAGTCACCATCCCAAACCAAACAAAATTCTTGGAAATTTGCTTAAACTCTTGCTCCTTTGGAAGTCTTCCACAAATACAAGTTAACACTGGGCCTAATATGATTTTACATAAGCATCAAATATTTTCCTGTTTTTGAGAAGTGATGACAAAAATGAAAATAATCAGCAAACTTTGTTGATTAAAGCAAGAGTTACCAAATTTTCTTCATAAAGGACAGAATAGTGATTATTTTAGACTTTGTGAGCTCAGGTGGTGACTGTCTCAACTATTTGTGCCATGAAAGCAGCCATACACAATATATGAGATAAGGGTATTTTTCAATAAAACTTTATTTATAGACATTGAAATTTGAATTTTACATAATTTTCATCTGTCATAAAATATTATTCTTTAGTTTTTTCCAACTTTTTAAAATTAGAAACTGGGGTATGGTGGTGCACACCTATAATCCCAGCACTTGGGAGACTGAGGCAGGAGGATTGCTGTGAGTTTGAGGTCAGCTTGTACTACACAGTGAATTAAAGAACAACCTGAACTGCATAGTGAGACCCTGCCTCAAAAAAAAAAATCAGATTGCAAGCCATATCAAAAATAGGTATCAGGCTGGATTTGGGCCATCTGCCAGATTTATTCTCTGGCCTAGAATAAGAGTGCCTGAACACCTGAGCTCTGAGAAGGACTTTAAAGTCTATGTGGTTCTCTTCTTTATGAATGCAAAAAACTAAGGTTCAGCTTTACTGGGCTTTAACATTCCCAGCAAACAAACAGCTGTTTCCAATGTTGATTAAAATTCCACAGGGCCCAAAAATATAGGATAGAAGAATGACAAATGGTGCATAGGCTACTGGTGTTATATTTTTAGACAAATAATTATTTTTTGTTTTGTTTTGTTTTGTTTTTTGAGACAGGGTCTCACTATGTAGTTGAGACTGACCTGGAACTCACTATGTAGCCCAGACTGGTCTCAAACTCACAATGATCCTCCTGCCTCAGCATCCCAAGTGCTGGGATTACAGGCATGTGCCACCACACCCAGCTGACAAATAGTTATTTTTAAAAATCAATCTTGCTGACATTTAATCTACCTTGCTAGACACATCTCTATCACTTTCCCTAACAACATCTTAGAGCATGTACTCCGGAATTCTAAGCTAACTTAGTATTCCCTAATATATCACTTTGCTTTTACAAACGCTGCCCTTCTGAATGGAATGTCCTTCCTGGCAAACTCCTATTCATCTTTCAAAACCCCAGGTTTCCAGACCTTCCTCACCTTTCCTGTCCCTTTTCTGTACTGCATGGCTCTTCAGATATTACACAGCATCAATTTATTCGTCTGTGCGCTGTGTTCTGCTAGAGTGAGAGTTTCTTAGAGGCAGGACTGTGCCTTGCCATCTTTGCATCCCCACTTACATTCCCACATGTCGAAGTGGGGCCCAGAGAGAGGCAACAGTGAGGCAGTTTCTCACCTGAATCTCACATTGGTGCTCTCAGGAACAATTACCTCCTCGCAGATTTTCTCCAGTGTAGGCATCCAGCTTGTAGCCAGATGGCAATTCTGTAAGACCACCCAGGTCCCATCTCTGATGGCTGTGTTGATCATCTTGGCAGCAATAGGGCCTTGGCCTTGACCGAGGGAGATGGTCTGTGTTTTGGCACCTCCCATACCCAGGTCATCTGCAAATTTCAGCAGGCCTAAGACAGGAAGAGAAGGGCCTCTGAGAGAGTACAGATCAGCTAAGAGCACATTAACAGCAGCAACACAGAATTGGGAGGCATGTTAAAATTTTAGTTTTAGAAAGAATCTCGCTGGCTCCTGTTAATTGCAAAATAAACATCTCTTTGGGAAAGCCTCAGACGTGATAAAATGGCAGGAGAAGCTGTAATAATGAACTCCCCCTTTGGCTTTAAACACATAGACATTCTTGATATAAAACATTGCACAAACTGAAAAGAAAAAAAATCTGGGTTTGAAAGAAAGAAAAATCTTTTGGCACAAAAAGTGAAGAGGAACCTCAAAACTGAAGGTGAACATATAACCAAACAAATTTATTTTTCCAAATTGATTTTAGTAGGCAATACGAGCATTTTTATGGTGAGATTAATAAGTGTCTTTCACATCTCTCTTCCTCAGGGATAGCTAATGTTACTAGATTTGTGAAACTTTTCAGAGAAATTTTATGTATTTAAGTATATGCGTATATACTATTAAATTTACATGAATTGTAGAATATTGCATTTGCTTGTTTTACTTTAAAATGTACCTTCTAGATCTTTTCTATATTGGTACATACTATATAACAGCCTTATTTTTTTATGGTTAGACAGTGTTTCACCACTGGAAAATACCATACTTTATTTATCTAGCCAAGAGGGTGCAGCTTTGATGTCCAGGGGAAATCTAGCTATGCATTCCTGCAACTGAGACCTATGTGTGAAGTTAGGAACTGCAAAGGGCTACGCCTTCATGATAAAAAGGCCAGAAATCTGACCACGAACTCTCGGAAATATCATGGAAGCTTGCCACTAATCTGGAGCCTGGGTGGAAAAAATGAACAACTCTGAAATCAAAACACTAAGTTCATGCCACATGCAGATGAGGGATATGAATCTATAGTACCTTATGCTGGGAGATTCCCTAGCTGAGAAATTTCCCATAAAATCGATCTAGAACAGTGGTGGAGAACCTATGGTATACACGCTGCAGCAGGCTGTTTGTTATCAGTGAAAGCTCTAAATGGTTTGCCTTCACCGATCTAGAGCATCATGGTCCCTGAAATCAGCGTTTGCCTATGCAAAGTTGTTCCATCATTCCCCAAACCCAAGGTATATAAGTTTTCCCAAAATAACACAAACTTACTTATTGTGAACTCACTATTAAAAAAAAAAAACTACAAAAGAAAGTACATCACCATTAGGAATAGTCAGCATGTAGAACAATCAGAGTGGATACCCTAAGGATTACATATGGTGCCTGAAATGGGCTGAATGTACCCCCCAACCAATTCATATGCTGGAAGCTCAATCCCCATTTCTCAGAATGTGACTGTAATTGGAGACAGGTCTTTACAGAGGCAATTAAGCTAAAAGAAGGCCTTGAGGTTAATCCACTATGTCTGGCATCTGAGAAGAAGGAAGAGAAAGAAAGAGAGAAGGAAAAGGGACAAGGACAAGGAAAAAAAAGAGAGAGATTAGAATACAGACGCACGCAGAGGGAAGACCATGCGAAGACACAGGGAAAAGAAGGCCATCACCAAGTCAAAGGGAGACGCTTCAGAAAAAAACCAATCCTGCTGACACCTTGATCTCAGGCTTCTAAACACTAGAACTGTGAGAAAATAGATTTATGTTTTTCAAGTTATCAGTCTGTAGAACTTTGTTATGGCAGCCCTAACAAACTAATATAGTCTTTGAAAAATACCATAAAAGAAACTCATCTAAAAATCAGGAAAACAGGAACATAAACCACAATACAATTCAGACCCCTATTTCAAACATGCATGGATTTGGAATAAAACAGAACTTTTAGAAGTGGAAAGCATAGTCATTTGAAGATTAAAAACTAAAAACACTGATCACAAGAGCAGGTTGGGATAGCCAAAGAGAGTCAGTATAGTGAGGTCTAAAATCAATGATCCATCCAGGAGAAATGAGCACCTTCAGCATCCAGGGTATGGTCTCCATACACCATTGCCTGTGGAAGGAGCTGGATTCCTATAAGAATTGTTTGTTTCTAGGTCTGGGGCAAGAAACATACAAGACAAGCCTGGAATACACGATAGTTCTAGAAGGCAGAGAAGCTATGAAAACTTATTCAGGTTGTAAGGAAAGTACATGGGCCTGAGGTGCTCCTATAGGCCACAGATTGAATAACGTGAGCATCAAAAAGAATAATAATGGAAGTGGAGTCAAATGTTAGCACATCTGAAATACCCAATACAGTGGATCCTTGATTTAGAAACTCATTTCATTCTTGAGGGCTAGTTGTACTCAAGTTGGTCAATTAAAAGCTTAGGCTCCTCTACACAGCCTTGAAAGTCTCTCTCTTCAAAAGTCTTGCCAATTACACAGGCAAGTCTCAGTGTCCTTGGAGAGACACTGGCCCAGGATTTCTCAGTTAACCCCACACAGGAAAGGATGTTGTCAAGTTCCTTCTGGAACTCATCAAGGGTTAAATCTGTATCTGAGATTATCTGGAAGCACAAGTGGCTGGTATTCAAGGCTCAAGACTTTATTCATGGTTAAAACTAAAATTCCAGTTGTAACCCAAGTTGTTCATATGTCAAGCTGGTTGTAACTGGAGGGTCCACTGTATTTTAAAATGCATGCATTCACAATGGTACAAAAATCTTAGCAGTTTACTATTCGCTTTGGAGCTTACTAGGTGGGACATTAATTCAGTATTTTGAGGGCCGGTGATAAAAAGTCAAGCAAATATTCCACCTGTGCTGTCTGAACTATATTCAGAGAAAACCAAGGTGTTGGCAAAGGAAAATTCTTCCGTATAGAAGAATTTCAGCTAATGAATGTGGAAAGAAAGATAGAACTAAAAATAAAATATCACCACTTGGCAGCCCCCAATGAAATAATGGACCTTGGTAATAATTTTTAAAGTCCACTGAAGCTATTAAAGTCAGTGGTGGTTCCCAACACTGGCCACATAATGGAATTACCTGAAAAGCTTTCTGAAACAGGATGCCTGGGTTTCACGCTAAAGATTTTAATTTAATTGGTGTCGGGTGCTTGAAGATTTTTCTTAAAACTCATCACACAATTCCAATGTGCAAAAAAGATTGAGAAACCTGGCATTAGGTGAGAGGCTGATGGGAAACTTTATAAGAGAGGAAGAGGAGGAAGGGGAGCTGGCTCATTTGACAATGGTTGGTGCCACTAATCAGTCCTTATAAGAAAAGGGCCAACAATCAGTAAGTAACTCCTGATGTGAGGCCCCTGGAGGGACTCAGTACCTATAAAGGTGCCTGTAAAATCATCCAGGCTGAATGTGGCCAGACTTCTAGAGTATAGGAATAGGTTAAATACACCACTGGGTACAAGCTGCCACGCTCTGCTAGCATGGCATCATCTTATCATTAATTTAGCATCATTAGAATAATCAGATCATATTAATGGCCTTTTCTCTGTTCTCTGCTTTATTTTTCTTGGCTTCCCCCTTACTTTTTATTAATTTCCTGCCAAAAGCATATAGGGGAAAAGGGCAAAGGTCATAGACTGCTCCTTGATAATAATGTTTTGGTGCTTATAGGAATCCAGAACCAGCTCATTTCAGTTCCCTCCTTTGCCATGTTTCCAGGGTCAGGGATGCTGGCTTTCTACAGTGTGAGGGTGCATGCCAAACTCCTCAGCTCACTGACAGGAGAATGTCAGTTTTGTCACCTGCATTTCTTATACTACTACTTTATTCAGCAAAACAGAAAAGTAAGTATCCAGATCCTCCGACAGAACAGAAAACTACTCTGTGCCCGTCAATACTTCATACCCTTCCACAAACACAAACCATTTCTGGAAAGAGACACAGTTACGAGCGGCTGCCTAGCTGGGAAGCAGTGAGGAAGAAAGTGCCTGATACCCTGTACCAGGCTTTCTCACCACAGCTTTCTAGGCCAGGCCAATTTTTGCAGTAAGAAACTGTCTTGTGCACTCTAGTGTGTTGAGCAGTATCCTCAGTCTCTACCCCCAACAAAAATGTCTGTACACATTGCCAAATGTCCTCTGAGGTAGCAAAGTCCCCCTCGTTGAGCCATGACCCTATTTGATTTTTAAAAAACGCAGTACTACTCCAATTTTTATTAAGTTAAAGAAGCAATTAGAGAAAAATGGTTTAAGACAAAGATGATAATCCAGTAACTAGTGAACAAATCTAACTCTGGGTTTGGCTCATCTAGCATCTTTTAGAGAGATATTTCAGTGAGTTACAGTATCAGATTTAAAAATGAGCCATTTCTGCATTTCTATGTTCTCTTGAAAAGTCAATCTCATAATTCTGGCTCACCTTCCCAGAAAGCTCAATTTGTGGATGCTGAGCAGCAGCTGCCCCCTAGGGTAGGAAATCACATAAAATTCCTTCACTCCCACCTCAGCCTGTTAAGTACTTGGCCTTCAAAGCCAGCTGAGTAGGAGATCCCTGTTTAAAAGACATGCTATCCACAACTACCCACAAATGATGGGAATTCAAGGCTCCTCATATTCTGTCCTTACCTGCCATTGGGTCTGCACTTGGAGACAACACGAAAATCAGCGGTGCACAACAACTGGAATCGTTGTAGGATCCCTGGAGATCGAATGTAGGAGCTTCGACGTACACATTCCCCATAAATTCGGCAATGAAATCCCTAACGGCCGGAATTATCTTGTCAGGCCGCAAACATCGGAGGATGACCAACCTCTCCAATCCTTCAAGCAACTTCCAAGGTTCAGGGAATATCTCTTCATGGGGCCAGGTCGAGTCGTAGATCGGCTTCCATTCATTAGTATTTTGTTCCAAATGTTCCCTCAGGCCTTTCAGTTTTGGCAATGAGGATGCACGTACAACTTCTGCCCATGCCTTCTCAGATAACCATTCGGGAGCTGGGTTGGGGTAGGGGTTATCCAGGGCAATACCTCCAGTTAGAAGGAAGAACCAAACTTCCTCTGAAATTAGCCTTTTCTCTTTCAAGATGCCGATAGTCAGGAGGAGGGAGAAGAGCAGCTTGTCCTTCTCAAACAGAGAGCGGCACACATTGTTGTAGATGCTCAGGGTGAAATATTCGATGATGTATTCAATGCGGAGATCCAGTTCCTCGCTCTTGGTGCTGTTGGCTAGGGAAAGCATGTAGAGGTTGATGAACCATGTCAAGGAGTACTGGTACATGGGCTCAATGTTGGCCAGGTCAGAGATACAGAAGAAGATGGTGGCAGAGTGCATAGCCACTGGCTTGTAGCCCATCCGAGTCTCATCGATCTCCATTTCTGTCTTTGAAGCTATTTCCTGTTTCTCTGAGATTTCTTCAGACAGTACTTTAGAGGAGGACAGAATTTTGATGGCCGTTTCATCCTCTAGAATGTTGCCCTGAGAAAGGGAGAGAACCTCCAAGATCTTATCTTCAATTTCCTTTAGCTGCTTCTTGTTCTTGGCGCTTTCCACAATCAACTGGTTCTTTTTCTCTTCCAGTTCTGGCTTCTCCTTGGCAGCCACAATACCAAGAAGTTGATCTTGGAGACCCAAGGGGGTGATCATGAAGTTGAGGAGACAGACTTTCACAGCAATTTCCGGGAGGTAATGTGGGTTCCTTAAACGAGTGGTAATGTAAAACTTAAATTCCTTGGAGTATTCAATGATACTTTCACCCAGCCTCATATATTCAACCCCTTGCTGCTTGAATGTTGTCTTGAGCAAGATAGGTTCAATGAAAGCATCCAGATCTTCCCCAATGTTTTCCAGTAAGACAGGGGTGCCAAACTGTAGGGCGTTTTCCAGTGTCCTTACATAATTGGTGTCAGAGAACTTGATAACAGACAGTTTATTTGCTTTCTCCATATTCTTAATCCATTTATTGGCCTGCCCCTGTGGGTCAATCATTAAAGGCCAATGCCTAGAATTGGACACAATGATGCCATTGTCTATGGAAAAGGAGTCAATGGGAAGCCCAGCAATCTGCCAGGCACGGATTTTCACAGGATCCCCTAACGTATTGCTGAGGCTGAAAAGTCACTAGAGCCTGGGATGACCTTGTCCTTACAGTTGGCCAACCATTCCTTCTGGCATTGGGCCCTGTAGTCCACTGTGAAGGCACCCAGATAAGCCACAGTCCCCGAGGACACCAACACATCCCCTGTCAGATTAATATAGCGGATTCCCAGCTGGCGAGCAGCTTCTGTCCATCTGTCCTCTCCACCAAGACCACTGATCAGCTTCTCTGCCCTGTCTAGCTTTTGGGAGCAGATTTCAATGTTTTCTTCCAGTGTCTTTTTCTTGACATTCATCTCTTCAAATTCGTCATTCAGGGCCTGGAGACGGTCTTCCACAAGCTTCAGCTCTGCTCGCTTCTGGTTCAGTTTCTGCATCTGTGCATCCAGCTTCCCCTCAGCCTCCTTCAGTCGCTCCCGTTTGGGAGCCACCACCTTGGCCACACGATCATACACCTCCATGGCCCTCACCCACTTGCACAGACCCTCACAGGCAGATGACACGTTTTTAATGACGGCCGGCTGGAATTCTGGGTGATCAATAAACCTTACTCGGATCCTCTTCATGACCAAGGGAGGGATGTTGTCTTTGTCGTATGACTTAAGACTCTTCAAGAATTTCAGGTCTCCGAGAATCTTTTTTGACACACCCCAGTAATCTTCTATCATCTTACCTGTTCAGTATAAGAAAGAGAGATAGGCTGTATTACTAGTTTAGGCTGAGATATCTAGTTCTGCAGTGGCTACAACTTGGATTTGAGGGAAAATAGTCCATCATGGTCTGGGAGGCCTGGCCAACCTATCCATCACATTTCTGATTTTCTCCCTGACTTGTGTCCCAAAGGACCTTCCTTCAATTTCTCCATGATCCCAGGTGCTTCTCTACCTGAGCCCTTTGCCCATACTAAAAGTTCCATCTAACTAGATCCTGAGCAGACTTCAGGCCTCATTTTAAAAGCTCCTCTGTGGGAAGGTTTCCCCTGGGCTTCTCTTCCAAACAGGGCCCCTCCTCCCCAAGCATTTTCTTTGCCTGCTAGTAGGTCTGTTCCTTGATAGCACTTATTGTAATCAGCCATTTTTTGTTTACTTTCTACTGCAAGTATACAAAAGCTGTGAGCTCCTGCTGTGTTTTCTAGAATTTGGTACAGTGCCTGATGCTCAGTTATCAATGAATATGGTTATTAGCCCATTTGTAGAAGAGAGGGCAACAGGAACCGGGGGCAGGAATCTGAAGTGTTCTTTCCTAGGTCTGGGGAACAGGTTGGAGGGGTACCAGTCAGTGTCCCATGTGATGAGCAGTGGAAATGAGGGTGGCCTTGGAGAAGTGGCTTGCAGGCTCACAACTGAACAGGAGGCTCCATGGCCTACCCTGCTCTCCTTAGCACTCACCAGCTAATCAAGCAGTTTCAACCCCATGCAGAAATAGCACTCCTTTCGTTGATACCTTGGAAAAAATTTGAGAGCCTTTCTGGCTCCTGATACTTGTCAACCTCAGGCTCATCAAAAAATTATACTTTGAGACATTGTATGGAAAACAATGTGTTCCTTTTGTAAGTCCAAACATAGCAACTAGCCGAATATTTCCATGGAAGTTTTTGTTTGTTCTCTGGAAAGTGACCTGCTTCATTTAAATTCAAAGCATCTAAATCTAATCCAATTGCTCATTTGCTCCATCTCAGTATACTCACTAAATCCTTCATGTTTGATGAATAATATATACAATTTGCTAAATTTTAAGTCATGATGGATTCTGTGCAGATCATCAATGATCTAATATGAGAAGCAACATTCATGATCTGGCCCAGCAGGTCTCAAACACGGCTGTACCTTAGAATTAGTCAGGGAGCTTTAACAAATACTAGCACTCGAGTTGTACCCCAGACCAATAAAATAAGCATCTCTCCCGGTGTGCCATGGACTTCGGTGTTCTTTCAGTCCCTGGGTGATTTTAGGATACAGAAGGGAGCCATCCCTACTCAGGTGACTTTCGGTGCCTCAGCAGTTTCCCTAAAGGGTCCTGTGGTAAAGTTCACTTCCTGCTTGGCTATTCTTGATCTGTTTTGCATCTTCTCAAGTAGTTGTTGGCCAGAAATGAGCCAGACAAGAGGGAATGCTGAGCAAAGGGAAGTAGGAGCCAGAAGATCCCAAGTGAAGGATCAGGGATTTCTAACATTTCAGAAGGAATGAGGGGATAGCAGGACTCTCGCCCGGATAGGAAAGTTAGAGACAGGAAACAGTATTACAGGTGGTTTTTAAAGTCTTTGTTTAGTTCTAAGACACTGGGCTTAACTCAAGGTCCTACCATTAATTAGAACTTCAAGGAGAATTAATGCTCATCTATTAAAACTTCTAGTTTAATTGTGTGAGCTTTCCTCCCTTCTCCTATTCCTCTCTCACCATTTCTCTCTCTGTCCCTCTGTCTCTTTCCCCTTTCCTTCCCTCCCATCTTTCCTCCGTGCTTTCTCCCCTCCCCCCAGTTTCTTTCTCTGCCTTCCTTTTCCCTTGTCTCCTTCTAAGTTTTCTTTCTAGCTCTTGCTTCTCCTCCATCCCAACCAACTTCTCTCTTGCACTCTCTGATGGTCTATGTGTTTCTTTCCCCATCTCCGTCTCCCTTCCTGGTCTCTTTTGTTCTCATTTGTCCTCTCTGTCTGACTCCATGTATGTCTTTGCCTCTGTTTCTCTTTTACTCAGCACTTCTGTCTCTTAGTTTCTGTTTCTGTCTCTCTCTCCTGTCTCATCTCATGCATGTCTCTCCCTCTCCACTTCTCTTTTTCCATTTCCCTGCCTTTCTCTCCCTCCCAATTTCTTCCCCTCATGTTCTCTGTTCATTATCTTTTGATTGTATGTGTGTGCATGTGCTGTGTGCACACATATTCACATGCATGTGTCCAGGATTCTGGGTGGCTCTACATTTATTTCTGTCTTTTAGTCTATTCTTTGTCTCTCTCTCATTCTTCTTTTTTTTTTTTGGTACTGAGGATCAAACTCGGTACCTAGAGCTTGTGAGGCAGGCGGTGGAACCACTGAGCTATATCCCAGCCCTTCTCTCTCATTCTTTTTCTACCTCTCAGTCTCTGTATCTCTGCCTCTCCTCTGTCTGTCTCTCTCTGTTTCTCCCTCTCCCTCTCTCCTCTCTCTCTCTCTCATACTCCCAACCTAACGCTGTGTGTTTGTTCTACACAAGGACTTTGGTTTGTGTAGTCTTCGTTTTGAAATGATTTTTAGGCTGCAACCTGGACTAAACTCTTCTCTACTCACAGATACCTAGGTTTTCCCACCTGACTAAGAGGTGAGGAAGCACCGGAGGATCTCTGGGTGTGCATGCTCCCCCAGGTACCTTTCCACATTCCTCCAAAAGTCTCTGATACTGCTTGGGGGCCTGGGGCAGGTTGGAAGTGGGATGGGCACTGGCATCCTTCACACCACGGAAGATCAGCCTGTGCAGGCGACTGGGATGGGGTGGGGAGGTACCGGAGCCACTGGGGTCTGGCTTCCTCTCTGGTCTCTGCCCCTTCATGACACAGATGCTCTCCATGACTAGCTTGACTGGGCCGGGTGGGTTCTGCATGGACTTCACCAGTGAGATGTCAGCCGGGTTCAGGGTGTCGAGTGCAGCGAGTGCTGCCTCCAGCGCTGGCATGGCCTCGGCCAGGTCCCCCTCGCATTCGTTCTGCAGAGCACAGGGACAAAGCGGGGAAGTGACCAGGGTCAGCACAGTGAGCGGAGGCCAAGCTCAGCTCCTAGGGGAAGCAGAGGAAGTGGGAAGAGGTGCTATATTCCCAGGTGCTCTGTGAGGACGGGCCTCCCCACACCCAGCTCTGGACAGCACCAGGACTGCACACCTGGCCTCTGGGACTGGGTTTTGTTGTGTCCTGGGACTTGGTTTGTTTGTTTTGATTTTTGGTACTGCAGATCGAACTCAGGTCCTTGTGCTTGCAAGGCAGGTGGCCTAAATCCTCAGCCCTGTCCTGGGCCTTTGAACATTCACCTTGCTTGTGATCTTAACACACTAAGCACCCTTAAGTCAGGGTAATTACCATTTTCATCTCTTCAAAGACTTACCATTTGTATGCGTTGGAAAATTTCAACTCTTCTGGTTGCTTTGAAATATATAATAAATTGTAAACTGTAGTTACCTTTCTGTGCTATACAACATGGAAACAAATTCTTGCTATCTGATTGCATTTTTTTTTTAAACCCACGTTTTTTTTTTTTTTTTTTTTTGGTACTGGGGTTTGAACTCAGGCCCCTGAGCTCGTGAGGCAGGCGACAGAACCACTGTGCTAAATCCCCCGGCTCTGATTGCATTTTGATACCCAATACCTAAATTCATTAAAAATAAGTCAGAAAAGCAAGGTACAGTGGTGTACACTTATAATCTAACCTACTTAGGGGGCTGAGGTAGGAGATTCCAGGCTTGAGGCCCAGCCCTAGACAACTTAATGAGACCCTATCTCAAAATAAAAATTTTAAAGGGTTAGGGATATGGCTCATTGTCCCTGGGTTACCAGTACCAAAATAATATAATAATAATAAAAATAAAAGTCAGGAAAAATACCTGTCCCACACAAATAAAACTCTACCTATTCAAATCAAACATGTCCACAATGCTTATTGGTTTTGTTATTTTGTTACGGCCACTGTTCTGCTAGCTGGAATTGAAATTTGAATAACTAATCTGCACCTCTTTATCTTTTTTATCTCAAGTAAAATCTTCAATTTTGTTTCTGAAAAATAGAAGATATAGTTTAAATCTCCAAGAGAGATGAAGTAGGTGGTTTCCATCTATTGATCATGGGTGGGATGAGAGAGGACTAAAGAGTAAGGCTTAGGGCTCGAGTGACAGACAGGAAGAGAGAAAGGCAAGGTGAGGGAAGAAATAAGGCATGAGGGGTGAGAGAAGGTCCGGGATGGGTGACCATCTGGAACACACTGTGTACCTTTAGAGATGGGATTGGGTAGAGGAATTGGGGTAGGGTGAAGATTGGGGACATGGCAAAGCTTTGCGCAAGATAAGGGCAGAATGGGGACAATGATTAGAAATGGGTAAGGAAATGGAGATAGGGTTTTGCTCCAGGGAAACGATATGGTATATGTTTATCCAGTATTTTATTCATTGAAACACAAAGTTAGTACAATGGAATACCACTCAACAATTAAAAGATGAACTACTGATGCTACAGTAATACATCCTGCTACAAGGATGAACCTTGTAGACTTCGTGATAAGTGAAAGAAAGAAGCTGGACACAAATGGTTACCTGTATATGAAATGTGCATAATGTGCAAATCCACACAGGCAGAAAGTAGGTTAGTGGTTGCCTGGGGTTGGGGAGAGGAGGGATGGGGGAGTGTTTACTAATGTGTAAAGGGTTTTTGGAAAGTGTGCTGAAAGTGTTGTAGAATTAGTAATGGTGGTTGCATAACTTTGTCAATATACTAAAGCCAACAAATTGCATAATTTAAAATGGTGACTATTAAAGTGTATGGATTATATAATAATTTTTTTAAAAGAACGAATTTTAGAACTGAAGGGGCCTGATGGATTAGTTAATAACCCAGTTACCAAATTACACACACACACACACACACAGGGTCCCAAGATGTAAAATGCAATAGCCAAGGTCATACACCTGGTTAATCAAAGAGAAGGCTCCTGGCTCCTCACTGAATTCTTTTTGTTCTCCAAGTCTAAGGAGTTGTAACAGCCATGATTGAAGTGAAAATTCACAAGAAAATGTCAGTTCTTAGACAACTTATGCCAGGATGTGTTGAAGTACTTAAATCCCACAGGTTTATTTAATAGGCAAAGAAAGAGTTGTTCCACCTTCTTCCATGTGTGTGAAAATGCATATATATGGATAGGTGTGTGTGTCTCATGGATTATTTTAGGTTTCCTACTTTCCTTACAGATGAAGAGCAATGTTCAATAGCTTCATCATCTTACCCTCTCCCTCCATAAACTATTTCAGATGGACCATAAAAATGGAATTGCCGGGGCCAGGGTGCCACACCTACCTCGAAAGTGCAAGGTCCTGAGTTTGATTCACAGTAATGAAAAAAAAAAAAATAGAATTGCCTGCTTCAGATGGAAATAATAGCTCATTCCCAGGGCCACCTCAGCTTACTCATTCTTTATCCCTCACACATGCACTAAACTGCAACGTAAGAGATTCACTCCAAGCTGGTCCCTGTTGTTCCTCATGGGCGGCTTCAGAAAAGATTTGGTGGCAGAGGTGGCCAAAAGTGTTGGCTCAGCCAGAACTCTGGATACTGGGTAAATTTCACTGATCACAGGTACCCAAGACTTCACATTGTCAATGCTTTTTCTTCTTCCTTTCCTTTTCTTTCTCTTTCCTCCTTTTCTCATCCCTCTTCTCCCCAACCCCTCAGTTTTTGTGTTGTGTTGTGGGGGGTTTAGGGGGGATTGAACTCAGGGCTTTTACACTGAGCTACATCTCAAGTCCTTTTATTTTATTTATTTTTTTATTTTGGTACCAGGGATTGAACTTGGGACCTTGAACTTGCAAGGCAGACAGCAGAACCACTGAGCTAAATCCCCAGGACTGTGCTTTTATTTTGAGACAGTCTCTTAAGTTGCTTAGGCTGGGCTCAGACTTGCAATTCTCCTGTCTCAGCCTCCCGTGTTAGTTTCTTATAACATGCCAGACAACTAGTGGATCATAATGCCTCATGATTTCCTGTAGCCTGGCAGCTCTGTTCCCTTCCCTAAGGGACAAGATCTGCCTTCCTGCTCAGTCTTAGAGCAAGCTGGTTTGTCAAGTGACTCAAAAAGACCCCTCACTGTGGCTTTATCTATAATAGTAATCTTCAACATTCGATGTATTCCAGTCACTGAGCAGTGTTTGGAATATCCTTGTGGTCAGGCCCCACACCCAGAGATTCTGATTCATTTACTCTGGGTGTGGCTCAAGTATCTGCATTTCTAAAACTCCAAAGATGATTGACACACATCTTTGTTGAGAAACTGTTCTTTATACTATTGAGACACTGAAAACCCAGAGCAAGAGGGAATAGACTTCAATACCCTGTAAGGGAATGGCCTCTTGGCATGTGACATGCCTTCTCAAAGTGGTCATTAAGATGATTATATGACATTTTGGAAAAATGTATTAAGATGTTAGGTGAAATAAGAAGCATGATAATAATCACAATTATGCTATTTTCTTGCAATAACACAAAGCTATCTACATGTATGGATAGGAATAAGAAGAAAAGTTCACAATTATGCTATTTTCTTGCAATAACACAAAGCTATCTACATGTATGGATAGGAATAAGAAAACTTATAATCAAAGTTGAAACTGAAAATTGAGTTCTTAAGAATTTATTTCACATATGTTTTTTGTTTCTATGATAAAAACCTTACAGTTGAAATTGGCCCCTTGTCTTAGCAAAGAGAGGTCCACCAGGGCTCTCTGATCAAATGTAATGGGAAAGCAGTTCTGGCAGATCATCCTCAGTAGAGAGGTAAGAAGTGAAGCATTAGCTTGAGAAGAATTGACCACATTAAGCAAACTGCTGCACTCAAGAATAAGTGTCCAGGGCCCTTTTTCTCTTTCAGTCCCCCGATCTTTCCAGTACAAGTACTGCTCCACTGAACTATGGAGTCTGCTGTGAACTGAGCACTGTACAGGGCACACTCCCATCTTCCATCATTCCTAGCAGCATAAAGTGCTGAGGAAACCAGCAGTCTTCATGTGCAGAAGGACTGAAGCCCTGAAAAGTCCAGGGAGGGATTCTGGTCCACACAAGGCCTCAGGGAAACTGCAGGGGCAAATGCAGATTTCTTTCTTCTCCTCCCTGGATAGTTTCTTCCACCTTCTGACTCACCTCATGGACAGCACTGAGCCTCATCCTTCCACCGAAACCTAGGGGGGCAGTTTATTGTCTGGAGGAGAGTGTGGTGGGGAGTTCTGGGTCATCACCTTACAAAGCTTGTGTCATCATTCATTTCCCTCTGGTTCTAGCACCTGATACTAATGAGCAGAGTCCTAGGTGTGATGTTCTGCTTCCTGATGGTCCTCATGTGTGGTGAGAAGCTGGCCTTTATTATACTCGGTGCAGGGCAAAGAACAACATTTTTGGAGAACAACTGACATAGATCTTAAGCTCTGATACATGTTATAGGCTTCATGTGTTTTTTGCTTAATCCTCCCATATTATGAGGAAACTAAAGTTAGGAAGTGGCACAGCAATTGAAGTCTAGCATGCCTGATTCTAGTACAGATCCACAGAAGAGTTGTGGATTTCTGTGTTACCAGGGGCCAGAGCAGTGATATGAGTGGGGGAAGTGGGCTGGCTGGGGACTACATAAGGGGCAGTGTCTGTGCACCATAGCTGCAACCCAGGAATGTAGGATTAATATGGAAAAAATGACTGATTTTTAAAAGAAAAGATAAAAATTCAGAATTTGTATTTGAAATTTCTTGATTATTAAAATTATAAGTATTTCTGATTTAAAATAAATTATTGACTTCTGAGAAGATTGTGGAGTGATGAGCAGAAGCAAATCAGCCTCTTCAAGATTTGGAGCCCAGATGCTGGAATATAGCAACATGAGGAAGAGAAGGAGGAGGGAAGTGGCTCCCCAGGATCCCCAGGATCTGAAGTGAGAATTGGAGTCCACGGGAAGAATGAAGAGAAAGAC